AACCCTGCACCTCTGCACTGTGAGGTCAACGCACTAACCAATCGACCACTGGGCCACCCATCAAAATAATTGTGATTGTTATTTATTTACATAATTGGCCAGCCCTAGTTTCACTTTTTCAATTGAACGACTGAAATAAGTATGTTTTCCACAAGCTTCACATTTATTATCAACATGCACCTATATGTGCCAGAAGTCTGTTGACTCCCTACCTGCAAGGCCCTGTAGCCATCCTCGGTGGCTGCCAACAGGCCGCTGAGCTTGAGGGCAAAGGAGCGGATGCTGGGATCAGAAGTGGAGTTGGAGGCTATGGTAGAGATGAAGTCAAGAAGGCATGGACAACTATCTGGAAGTGATACACCTAAAGAGAAACAAGAAAATATGGAACTTCTCAAGTACAGGTATTAAAAACTCTTAAATAAGGCAAAACGATTTACTTGGCTATTTAGATTCACAATGAAAAAGTAATTTTTGCAGAATACGTCCCCTTTAATATAAACCATGGTTGGCTTATTGAAACATTTGTATGCGTTTATTGTATTTGTAACCTCTGAGGAGTGCACCAAACGCCTTGGCCAAGGGCAGTGGGCGGTCATTTGATCTCGCGTTTCGAGGCAAAAGGAATCACCAACCTGCCTCGGAGAATTCGGTGAGCCGGTCCAGTAGTTTCTCCAGGCTGGTGTCATCGGGCAGAGGTTTGGCGGAATCCGCCAAGAGTGCGCACACGGTGGCCAGCAGCGTCGCACTCTCCCTATCCATGCTTGTGTGCGAGTGTTATACGACAGAGAGCGGACTCACGTCGTAAAATAAACTATTAATAATTCACAACGCACTGATAATAAAAGGAAATGTGCTGACTTTCCCATAATCTCGCGGGAAATCGCTTGATTGCAACCGGTAAACGTCTTCCTTTTTCCTCCTCGCAACCGATTTCAGGAATGAACAACAAAATGGATGCTCAGCGATGACGGTCACAATGGAAAACCGCTCATCCATTTGATATACAACTTTGTCACATTTCAGCTACATTTCCGGGTTTGCAAACTGCTTCCTGTGCCACATTGCCGTCAGGTCGTCCATTTTCCTCGAGACCGCACATGGTGGCGCGCCGGTAGAAGACTGTCAGCTTCCCGTCTTTCTTTCCAGTCAGTTTGCGGTCACGAGAAAGCCCGTCCCGTCAAACGTGTTAAATGCAAGAAACGGTGGACATGGCGGACGACCCCGAGTACGAGGAGGAGGAGCCCTCCTTTAGCGACCCGGAGGACTTCGAAGATGACGTCGACGACGAGGGTGAGCGCAAACAGGAAAATCGCCGGCTTTACGGCCTGCTAGCTTCATTAGCTGCATTCTAAGCCGGAGTACACGGCGTGTTATAACAATGACCTTGTCACAGTTAAAAACAAACAAAAAAAAGAAAGTACTTCACCTTGACTGCTGTCTAAGTCGAGCAATTTTCTTGATTTCTGAACGTAGAATGAGTGACAAGTCAACGATGTAAAGCAGTCCGACGCACCGTGTTTCACCTCTCAATCGGCTTCGCAGCAAATCACCTGAAATGAAACACTTTACAATGAAAGTATAAATTATTATATGACATGCACAGGTTCAGCTGAAACAGCTGTCTCATAGTGCCATTCTAGTATGAACCTATCAGCTTTTGTTGACGCACGAAATTGCTTACGTGTCTTTCTCAATTTTAGAATATATGCATTCAAGAACATTTTGCATTAAACTATAATTGGTGGTGATGAAAATTTTGACAACGTAGTTGTATAAAGGCAGTGAGTGTGGACCTGGAAAGCGAGGCACGGTCCAACACTAGCGGTGGCTGGATGGCCCGAGGCCACCTTAAGTTAACTGATGCTGGGCACTCATCAGAGCAAAAACATACACATGTGGCAAAGACTCTCTGTAACTTCTGTTCACAACCCAGGCTAACCTCATCTCCTTTCCGACATAAACGCATCTTAAATGCTTAGTTTTATGGATTAGTTCAGGACACCTCCTTGACACTAATTACTTTGTGCTTATTAGGCAGGGCTTTGGCACCAACTTGTGGAATCTAAGAGCGTTACGGAAACAGCATAGAGACGAGATGAAAGTCACAAACATTGTAGGTTAATTTAGGAATGGCAAACTGCAAATGGGCGGGGCTTATGTGTTAATATGCAGATTATAAACATAATGTGATGATGGCTCAATGAGCTTTTGAACATATTCTCACTTGGCTCTCCTTGGTCCCTGCAGAGCTCCTGGGCGACATTCTGAAGGAGAAACCCCAGGAGGCTGACGGCATAGACTCCGTGGTGGTGGTGGACAACGTCCCGCAGGTTGGCCCGGAACGTTTGGAAAAGCTCAAGAACGTCATCCACAAGATCTTCTCTAAATTTGGGAAAATCACCACCGAGTTCTACCCGGAGACCGATGGCATGACCAAAGGGTAGGACGACTTTTTTTTTTTTTTAATTTGAGCTCGATGACCAAAGAAGAGATAATGTAATAGACACATTGTGTATTTCCAGTTACATCTTTTTGGAGTACGCTTCGCCCAACCAGGCTCTGGAGGCGGTGAAAAACGCAGACGGCTACAAACTGGACAAACAGCATACGTTTAGGGTCAACCTCTTCACCGACTTTGACAAGTACGCTGCTAAGTCCAGCAAAAATTGATGTATTTAATGCAAGTAAATCACAGATTTTCTTTTTTTTTTATTATTATTATTTTAAAGGTACATGAGCATTAATGATGAGTGGGAAACTCCTGAGAAGCAGCCCTTTAAAGACTTTGTGAGTGTAGAACATTATTACCATTGTTCATTGTGTTTATCCAGTGGGGTCAAACCAAAGGACTTGACCGATCTATCAAAAGCCAAGCAAAGGTGAAGAGCAACCGTTTTTCATTGCTTATTAACTCTTTGTCTGTTCAGGGTAACATGCGTCATTGGATCGAGGACGCTGACTGCCGCGACCAGTACAGTGTGATCTATGAAGCTGGTGAAAGGACCGCCATTTTCGCCAACGACGCTAAGGATCCGGTCGTCTCCGAAGAAAGAGCGGTATGTGTTAATTCAGATTTCAACACAGTGTGTGTGTGTGTGTGTGTGTGTGTGTGTGTGTGTGTG